GGGGGGGGGGTGTCCGTGGGGTATATTTTTTCCAGCCCCCCCCCACCCGCCCTTCTTCATCCGCGCGCATCCCTCCCGTCCGGATCTCGGCGGCGGCGGCGGCCCCATTTCCTCTCTCCATCCCGGAGGAAAGCCGCGGCGGAGAGGCGTCGCTGGGGCCGCCCGTGGGGACCCGCAGGTGCGGAGGGGTGGCGGAGGAGAGCGGCCGCCTGCTCGCTCTTACGGGCGCCTCATCCCCGGGCTGAGGGGGAAGCCGGCGGAGGGCCGGGCAGCGGGCGAGGCTCACCTGCGGGACCACCGCATCGCTCCGCCGCAGCTTTCTCTCTGTGTCTTTTCGTCCCTTGGCTCCGGGCCGGTGAGGGGCAGCACCGCCACCGCGACGGCCACCCGCCTCCTCCACCCGCTTTGGTGGGGAGGAAACGCCGCCTCGCCTCGCCTCACAGCCACCTCAGCCGCCGCCTCTCGCTCCCTCGCGCGCGCACGCGCACGAGCAGCGGCCGGACCCCGCCCCTCCCTCTCTTCCCCCCCCCTCCAGCACCAGCCTCGAGCTGACGTGACGCGCGCGCTCGCGCAACCAGCGGCCGCGAGAGGCGGAGGTCTCCTCCGGGCGCCGCGCCCCAAGCCAAGCCCCGCCCACGCCGCCTCCTCCTTTTAAAAAAAAAAAACCCTTCCCCTCCCACCTCCTAGGGGGCGGAACGAGGAGGAGGAGGAGAAACAGGCCGGCCACTTTCGAAAGGTAGGAGCCGCGCGCTCACCGCCCATGCCCGGCGATTCCCGTCGAAGCTTTACGCGAGTAGCGTAGCGCTGGATGGGAGGGGTGGAGGCCAAGGGAGGAAAGCGGCGCCTTTTTTTTTCCTTTTTTTTTTTACGACGGCGACGTGGCGTGGGGGCCGCGCCGGGGCCCCCCCCCCCCCCCGCAACGAGGAGCGCGAGGCCCGGTGTCAGGTAAGGCGCCTCGTGAGGGGAGATCGCCTCTGAGGGGGAATCGGGCGCGGAGGCCCCGGTTGAAATGAGGGGAAAAGGCCGCCTGAGGGGGACCCTGAGCGTTGAGGCCGGTTCGGCTGCTGGACAACGCTCCCGCGGGGCCGGACCCGCCTCCCCGGCTCTCCCAACGGCGCCTGGATGGTTGAAATCCTCCCGCCTTTTCTCCGTGAGGGAAACCGTCCCTGCCCCGCCATTCATTCGCCCTCATCCCGTGTTAGAGATTGTCCTCGATTTAACGACCCACTATCGACCTTCCCCCCCGTTGTTAAGCGAGACATTTATTAAGAGAATTTTGCCTCACTTTCTCGACCCGGTTGGTAAGTGGGAGCCTTCTAGATGCAGATAGTCCTCGACTTAAGGCCGCAATTGAGCCCAAAATTTATGTTGTTAAGTGAGACATTTGTCAAGGTACTTTGGCTTCATAGGGCGACCTTTCTGGCCTCAGGTGTTCAGTGAATCACTGCAGTTGCTAAGTGAGTAACCCGGTTGTTAGGTGAATCTGACTTGGGGGGGGGGAAGGTCGCAAAAGGGGATCTTGTGACCCCGGGGAGGACACACACACACACACACACACACACAGCAACGGTCATAAGTATGAAGCCGTTGCCAACCCTCTGAATTTTGATCAGGTGACCGTGAAGATGCTGCAGTGCCGTTGTCAACTTGGAACGGTCACTAAGCGAACTCGTCGTAAGTCGAGGACTACCTAGGAAGCGAAGTAAAACGTAGTTAGATTGTCTTGCCTGCAGGGAAATTCCAACTATAGGAACTAATAGTTGTCGCAGCTTTTCTTTTATTTTTAAATTTATTTTTTAATTTTAATTATGAGAGTACAACACAATTCATCCAGCTTCCCTTTGTTATACATATATACATTTTACTTCATCTTGTAATCTCCTTATTTAATATATTAATTACTAATTAATCTAATCATAACTACTAATATTTCTACCTTGTCTTCTGCTATAAAACCATTGGTAAAATTTATTCCATGTTTTATAATATTTAGATTCTCCTTTGTCTTTTAATTCTAGAATTAACCTATCTGATTCTGCACATGCCATAATTTTCCTTATTATTTCTGTTTCTGGAGGTATGATTTCATTTTTCCAGGATTGTGCATATATTATTCTAGCCGCCGTCAATACATGTACTATTAGATACATTATTTCCTTCTTAAGTTTTTCTGATATTATACCTAGGAGAAAAAAAATTACGGTTTAAATGGAATACACTCTCCCACCGTTTGTTCTATCCAGGTTTGGATCAGTCTCCAATATTTTTTGCAGCATTGCAAGTCCACCACATGTGAAAAAATGTGCCTGATACATCTTTACACTTCATAAAGATGTATCATATAATCTATAGATACATATAGATATATATAGACTATATATCATATAGTCGCAGCTTTTCTTAATCTCCCTGGTGAGATGGCAGCACCTAGCTAACCTAGGCTGATCTTGGAAACAAGGTTTATCTCAGTTAATTCTTGGATGAATCGCCACTAGGAAATGTAGGCTAAAAAGCAACTTGTAAAGCAGCGGTATAAACTAATGTCATATCTTTGCCCCCCCCCCGCCCCAAAAAAAAGCTACATGGATGTGGCCATGAGGTCATCAGAGGTTGAGCACAAGATTTTACTCTACAATTTTCAAGGCTATTTTGCTGGGGGGGGGGGTTCTACCACTGGAAAGTTGCTTGGCCTATAAAAAGGTTCCTGTATGCCTATCCCTTCATAATTGCAGGTTCTATTTTTTCCCCTTTGTATACTATACTTAAAAGTGCTTTGTTGTAGCTTCCAAGAAAATGAGTTGGTATCTGAAAAAGATTTCCTTTAGATATAGAATTTATTTGGTGAGTCACCGCCGAAAAGTTTCAAGTAACAGCTAATGGATAGAATGAGCAAACGCAGCCAGGAAATGAACAATTTCTTGCTGTGGGACGATGCTGAAAACCACCATGTTGCTCTTACTGACGGAGGCTAAGCAAAGAGAAGGATGCAGCATCCATTATGTAGCTATTAATCTGTGCAAGTCCGGATTGTTGACTCAGGTAAATCATAGATGCTCCTATTCCATCTTAATATTCCTGTAATGGGGATCAGCATTACGGGTCTTAAATCCACAAGATATTTGCCTCAGAAAAATGGAAAGATCTGGTTGCATTTTTTTTTAAAAAGGCGAACACCAGTTCATTACAGCAGGAGGTCTCCAGACTTGGCAACTTTTAACTTGTGGACTTCAACTCCCAGAATTCCTCAACCTGCAGGGTTGAAATCCACAAACCTTAAAGTTGCCAAGTTTGGAGACCTCTGCATTACAGAAGATCTAATATAGAGATCATCAATCTTAATTCTCATTGTTTTCAAAAGGCAGTTGTTTAGTTATTGCCTTTGAAGATCTTAATGATTACTAATACATACAAGTCATCAGTGAATTTCCTTTGTGTTTTAATTGTGTGCAGGAAAACTTCCCATCCCTTCCTAATGAGTAAATATGCACATGCAGCTTCTTTCCTGTTGTAATGAATGGGTGTTCTCCAGTTTTCTCTGAGTCATGCCCAAGGGACAGCGCTTGCTGTCAGTTGTCCGCTTTCAAAAGGCTGAATCAGACCCTAGTGATATACAGAAGTATTTACAAAAGCAGAACATCAAATAACTTCAAGGCTGCAGTCAGTTTTTTAGTTTCTTGAGAAAGTTTTAGTGGCACCGACCTTTAGATAAACAAGAATCCAATCAGGCTGAAAAATATGCAGTTTTGTCCCTGGATTCAAGAGAGGGGCTAAAGGAAGAGTCAGTTTATTTTCCTAACTGCGTGAGGTAGAAAAACATTTTAAAATCAGAGCAACATCTAATCAATTGCCATGCTCCCATTTGGCAAACCAAACATTGTCTAGTATGTTGTCTAGTTTTCACATTTAACCTTTTTCATTCTGTAGCTCGGATGCAGAAGCACTTCACACTTCTCATGTGTAAATTTCTTTTCTCCTCTCTGTTCACGTTAGGCTTTGGGCTTTCTCCAGCAGTCGTAGCCCTGCTTGCACAGAATGGACCCTGTTGTCCTGAGTTACATGGACAGTTTGCTGAGACAATCAGACATTTCTTTATTAGATCCTCCCTGCTGGCTTAACGACCACATCATTGGGTTTGCCTTTGAGTATTTTGCCAACGACCAGTTCCGAGACTTCTCTGACCAGGCCTGCTTCGTGGGCCCGGAAGTGGCTCAGTTCATCAAATGCACCACCAACCAGGAGGAACTGGCCATGTTCCTTGAGCCCCTGGACTTGCTGCACAAGAAAATTGTGTTCCTGGCTATCAATGACAACTCCAACCAGGCAGCTGGTGGCACCCATTGGAGCTTGCTAGTGTATTTCCAAGACAAGAACGGCTTTGCTCACTATGACTCCCACAGCAGGTGTAACTCAGCACATGCCAAACAGGTTGCAAGGAATTTGCAGTCCTTTCTTGGCAAGAGGGGCAAAGTTGCTTTTGTAGAAGAGAAAGCTCCAGCGCAGCAGAACAGCTACGACTGTGGGATGTATGTGATCTGCAACGCAGAGGCCCTGTGCCAAGAATTCTTCCAAGGGCAGCAGGAACCGGTGCTTCAGCTCTTGACTCCTTCGTACATCACAGGCAAGAGAGAAGAATGGAAAAAACTCATTGCTAGACTCTCCAAGAAGTGACTTGTGACTTTCCAGCGATTGGTCTTTTTTTAAAAAAAAGCTTGTTCTCTGTGCCTGAGAGAAGAACTTGTGCACAAGACGTCTTTCTCCCTACAGAAAGAATGTACTTATCTTTGCACTTCTTCTGCACTGCATTATTCTGCAGTGCTAAGCTCTGGGAAATAGCGACGATGCCATCTTCCCTACAGTTGGAGCAGCTGCCGCTTAGCCTAACTTCTGTATCCTCCCAAATCCCTGCGATGCTCAAGTTCTTTGTAGGCGTGTGTGTGTGTGTGTGTGTGATCCAGTTTCAGTGATGTCAGTGGCAGAGACATGGCCTCTGTGCAATTAGGGCAGCTTTCAGTGTCTCTCCTTTGGAAGCGTCTCTGAATGTCTGGGAATGGAGATCAGATTTTTATATAGCGGCAAAATTACTGTTACTGCTTGTATCCAAAGCTTCAGTCTTAGAGCTGTCCCTTATTTCTGCTTTTCTGAAAAGGAAGTGGAGGAAAGCTATTTGTTGTGTGAAGTGTTTTGCCTGCCTCCAGTAACTATACGCTTTACTGTAGTATGAGGAAGCCAAATTATTGTACAGTACGGTAGCCTCAAAGGCAGGAGAGACAGCTCCTCTTTATTCCTAGCTCCATCTCCACCTCCTGTTTATTTCACACAGTAAGGATTTTTTTTTAAGGTGCTGTACTTTTGAATGAATGGTATGATGAAACTATTAGAGGGAAAGGAATTTTCCCTTCAGTATCTAGACTGGGGCCAGGGGTGGGGGAAGATATATATAATACAGAAACTGAAATTTCTGCAGAAATCACTTTGAGCACTTTGACCTAGAGTGCCTTAATAGCGCACTGAATCGATTTCCCTAAATTGTATTCTGCTGGAGTGAAGTCCAGTAAGGCTTAGTTTTGTTACCTAACATTGCATCCTTGTATTTCTGCATATATACTTGTAATGGCAGGAGGATTCAATTGTTTTGTGCAACGAAGAGCTGGAGTTGACTCACATTCCTTGAGAATTGCAGGTGCAGACAACTGGCTGGTGTGCCAGTAGTTCTGCTGCAGAAATTCAGCGTTAGGAGAAAAATTGTAATAGCCAACAAAGCATCGGATTAGCACTCACTTATTTCTCAACTCTCCTTTTTAATTGCTGAATAATATGTGGGATTTGGAGGGAAGTTAAAATCATGACTGAGATTCTTCCATGGTTTGTGTGTTGGAAATTTGCTTCCTTCTGCTGAACATTTGGCTGGGCTGAAAAAAGTAACCTATCTTGTTTGGTAACATGCCAAGCCAGGTGACATAGCTTTAAAGCCTATATTATCTGAGTTTCTCCCCCCCACCTCCATTAAATCTTGTTCTATTGATTCCTGATTATTGATTGACTCAACAATGATCCTTTTTTTAAATGCTGCAAGAAGGAGCATGCTCAACAGGATTTAAGTAACAAGTTCAGTTGTTTTACCATGTGTTGAAATTGTTGGGAAGAAGCACTTAGTAATTTCTCTTATTTGCATAATCACATTATGTTTGGGAAAATATTCAGTCAAAAATTAAAAAGAAAACCTGAAAAGCGATGCTCGGTGGCAGTAGCCTTGTTTTGTTTCCATACAATTGTTGAACTGTGGAATCCATACCCAGCTGGGAGAGAGGGAAACAGCCACTTAGTTCTGGAGATATTTTCTGAAAGACGAGGAAGCTTCTGCAGACCCTAATGGATTGTTAGAGTACAGTTATAGCTCATTAAAAATCAAGGATGCCTTCGGAGGCTTTTTTGAGGCAGCTCCTTCTTCATTCAGTCATGGAATTCTAGGACAGCATCAGAAGCACCTTGAAGCCCTCCCGCAGGATCCACGGCTGCTTCCCTTTTGCCCCCCAATGACCCTAAAAAGGGAAGTCTTTCATAGGGAGCTCTTTGGTAGCAATCTACTGTTAAAACCCAGGACCTTCCATTTGGGTATTTTTAGCAGCAACCTTCACCTTAAAGGCAACTCGTCATAATTACTAGATTGTCAACTTCCTTATGGTGCAGCAGCATGAAAATTCAGAAGTTATGCCATGGTGATAAGAAAAAAAGAAAAGAAAGGATCTTGGCACTCCTACGTCTGTAAACAGAATTCAGAATAAAAGCGCGTGGGATTAAGGAAAGTAACTGAGGCCCTATGCGGATTCATTTATTTCAGTTTCTGCACCAACTATTGAGCGCCTTCACATCCACTGAGGACAGGAATAGCAGAGACACACTAGAAATGATCTGTGAGGTCAATTTGGATCATTTTTTGCATCGCTGGAAGTGTTTTTGGCTCTTAGCTGGGTTGAGGGAAATGTACTCCGAAATGTCTATGGGAATTCTCAGTCATCCAGGTCATGGTTATCCCAAAGATGCTTTTTCAAAAGGCAACTGGAGTTTCTTCAGTCAGAACTGAAGAAGCTTCTCAGATAAGAAGCAAAATGTCTTCAAGGAAAAACAAAAAAGTCCAGTTGGTACTTTTCTAAATGCTCTTTTGCACCATTTGCATCAAAAGGCGTCTCCAACATTTCTGGGCCTATTTGTCTAGAACAGCGACCCCCAGCCTTTTGGGCACCAGGGACCAGTTTCATGGAGAGAGGTTTTTCCACAGATCAGAGCGGGGCGTGGTTTCACGTGCTACCTGACTACCACGGTCGGGGATTGGGGACCCCTGATCTAGAAGTCATTTAGTTCTAAGTAAGTGCCATAGGATTTCCCTGCAGATTGTCCCGAGTGCAGTTGTGGTCCTATTTCTGGAAAGGCTTAGTACGGGAGCCCAAATGCAGCAGCTTTCTTTAGGTGCAGAGAAAAGCAAACAACATTGGATGCCAAGGGCGTCACCAGGTAGAGAAAGACAAACACTCTGTAAGATGCCATTCAAAGAATTCTAACACTTTCCACCCATTTCCCCCCCCCTTTACATTGATTTTCCTAAATGACCAACTGTTCTCCCCGTTTCGGCAGGTGGAGCAATAGGGATTCTCCCCAAAAACATGAAGGCCTGTGGCCTTTATAGGACAGAAGAGACCAAGAGGCTGTGAGTTGTATTTGAAGGCAAGACTCAGAGGAGCCACATAAAGGGTAGGATAGCAATAGCACTTAGACTTATATACCGCTTCACAGTGCTTTACAGCCCCCTCTAAGTGGTATACCGAGTCAGCTGCTTGCTACCAACAATCTGGATCCTCATTTTACTGACTTTGGAAGGATGGAAGGCTGAATCAACCTTGAACCGTTTAGGATTGAACTCCTGGCTATGGGCAGAGTCAGCCTGCAATGCTGCATTTTGACCATTGCACCACCCGGGCTCTTGTGTTGGTGTTTGTGTGCAAAACTGAACTAGTCAAGTGACGGCTCCAGCACCCCTTAAGCTCCGTCACATGCATACAAACACGCAAAGCTATTGACCTTAAAAAGAAAAAGTCAGTGCATGACTCCAGTCCTCCCATTATCATTGCTGTGTGTGCCTGTCATTCATTACTAGGTTACTTAACGGCTTCTGGAAGTCAGCATCCAATGCAACAGGGAGGATGATGAAGAGTTGGAAGACTTAATTTGTGAAGCAGTTCGGCTTACCTTGGGTCAGTCCCTCCCTCAGCGCAGCCCACCTGATAAAAGAGTTATTGTTTTTGGGAAAATGGGAGTATTAGGTTTGCCACCTTGGGTTATCTATCTATAAAGAAGCCAGGATAAACAATAACCCCTTTGCAAATAAGTTTCTGTGGGAAAAGGGAATGACAGCAAATTCAGCTGTAATTGTAGCCTGGAATGAATCACCTTGCTAGTAAGAACTTCTCCGGGTGTTTTCTTAAGACAAAGCAAACACTGCTCAGAAGGATGATGAGAACCTGAAGGAAAAATGGACGATCATCCGCAGTAAGGCAGGAGTGGCAATCGGCAGTCCCAGTATAGAAATATGGTCCCAGTTCCCTGCACCACCATCAAAACCAGAAGCAAGACTTGCCTTAGGGATCTAGAACGCACAGTCGTAAAAGGAACAAGTTATTCCATAACAAGAATTAGATTGTCTCCGTATGCTGATGCCTTTCGTTCCACCGCTTAGAATATTTAAGAGTCGGCTGGGGGGGCGAACTTGATTTAGGAGCTCACTGGCTCTCTCCTAGCTCTGCAGTTGTATGCAAAGTTGATAGACAAAACCTCTACTGACACGAGGAGCGTGGCAGCCCTTCAAGGATCAGTGGTTGAACATTCCCTTCATTAGTTCTATATTCTAAAAATGAAACGGGGACTTAAGCCATGTGCTTCAAAATCAGATTTCAACTTTATGGTTCTCTACAAACATTTTCCAAGATTTGGGGAGCCCAAATCTATTGGGACAATCCTGTTTCTGAAGCTTTTCCAATCGTGCATCTGTACAGATATCCTTCTGTTGGATACGTCTTATGTCCGTCTGGTGGATCTGAAGAGATTTTGCATACAAGAAGCTGCAAAATTGCCTTCACAACCTTTAGCCTGCTCCAATTTTTCTGAATGAATAGCTAAACCCCAATATGTAAACATTATAATCCTTGCATCGCACTTTGATAGCCTGGAATGTTCGAAGCATACTTGCGTTGCAAGAAAAGCCAGTTGGAAGCCAAACACCTACTCCGAGAAGGGTGCAACTTTAGAAAGAATCTCAAACTTTACCTTGAGAATTCAGAAAAGGAAACAGAGGGAACTTTTTAACATTTTGGTAACATTTCAAATGTGTTCTTTGTCCTTCAGAAAGATTTGAAGATTGCACACGACCTCACATTCATCCTGGAAAATGGAACTGGCCCTAACAAACTTCATAACTGAAAAGAAAGTTGAAATCCAGACTCTACATATTCCCGGGGCAGCTTTTTTCTACAAATACATTAGATTACTGTTGATTTTAATGTGCTTATCCCTACAAAGATCAGAATTGTGCAGACTACAATATTCCCTGTGCTACTCCAAGGAATCAAAAGTTGGACTCTGAAGAAGCAAGTCAAGAAGAGTATTGATTGTGGCCAGCTCTTGTAGAAGTAGACAGGTGTGTTGCAAGCTCCCTAGACGCTTCCACACCTTGCCAAAAACACAAATGAAATATACAGTATAATGTCTCCTTTTGTTGAATAAATTCTGAACTTTTCTCCCAACAGATAGCAGAAGGAAAAGTTGCAACAATAGCAACCAATTTAGACTAGTGCCTGGGTCTGCAAATCAAAGGAAATATACCCGTATGGGAAAGCAGTGCACAATCTGCAGGAAGACTTAACAGAATGAAACAAAAAGAAAATAGCTGGTTTGTGATTTATTTCTAGGCACTTGAAGCTGCCAACCATATTCTGGAATGGATGATCTGAGTTGTGCAGCATCTAATCACAATCTCAGCTGCTTGCAGGGAGACCAAAATCCCTGTTTTAAAAGGACGGGGTCTTGTCAAATACTTCAGGCTGCAGAAGAAATAAAAAGCTTGTTTTAGGGTAACCAGGATGTCCAATTGCAAGGATGGGCTTTCTGCAAAGGACGTTTGGGGCCCTCTGGCGTGCACAAGTGGGAACTGCGCCCTTTTTATTCCCAAGGATAGACAAAAACTCCCCCTTTCTTTCATGTATTCTGTACTAATTTTTAGGCTGCTAATTCCCCATCCTACCCTTCTTTTAAGAAACCTCACAGGAGGACGGGTGAAGACATAAGAGAAGGAGAAAAAAACCCAGACTATTTTAAAGAATAATGGAAAAGCGTTCTAATCAGACAAGGTCCAAAAAATGACTTCTGAATCATTCTTGAAGCATGAGTCATGCCTTATTTTAAAACAATTAAGTACCGTATGCCACTTAATTGAGGGCTAGATAAAGGAACAACCCTTAAAGATCTTGACCGATGGCCAAAAAAAAAAAAAGAGAGGATCTGCTTAATTGATTTTGGAGGAAGCTAGAATGGGAAGCAGAAAACCTTAGAAAAAGGCAGCGAGGGAATGTCAAAAGAGAATTATGGTAGTTTCCCAAATCCACCTGATTAAGCCATGCTGCCTGAGGAATTCTGGGAGTTGAAGTCCACAGGTATTAAAAGTTGCCAAGGTTGAACCGACCCCTCGACGACCTAAGACAAAAGAGGATTATGGGTAGTATCGGCCTACGATGCTTTTAGCACACAACACATGGAGGCACACTTAATTTCTTTCCAAATTGAAATACCATGAAAAGACCTTCCCATTCTGAGCTCAATGGGTTGCATGTATTAATCCATGCCAAATGCAGCTAACTGTACACAGCGAGGACTCTTAACCTATCATCCAGGGCAACAGATGTCCCCTAATCAGTCTGTCAGAAATTGTGGGGATGTTCGGACAAGAGGCGAGCCAGAGAAAATCTCCAGTCATTTAGCCAATGGGATAGCAAGAAGAAGAGGAAAAAAAGCTATTAAGGCTGGCTCACAAGTCCCCTAGCAAAAGCTAAGCCAATTAAATCTCCCTTAATAGGACAGGGAACATCAGAATGGCGCTTTTCCAATTTGCAATCATGTGCCAGATAAGGACAGAGAAGAAATACGTTTGCTCCACGATTTTAAAACAGTCGATGCAATTGATGCACGTCGTTCTGGGCAAACGCACAGATCGGAGTCGAAGCTGCCCTTCCCAAATGTTGGAGGGCGGCTCTTAGCTCAGCTGATAACATGCAGAAAGGGGAAAACTACCGAGGAAAGCAGGGTATGGAAATAAGCACCGCAGGGACTCCTCCCTTCAACCCCACCAAGGTATTTTTAGAACATGAAAGGTTCAGCTGGTGCTGGCATTAGATGCTCTGCAAAGCTATTCTTGGAAACGGTGCCGGAGAACGGTGTTCTGCATCAAATGAACTTTTAAATGTTTTAAATGTTCTTTTAAATGTTTTAATCTGCCTATCAGGGCAGAAGTTCTAGCAGGCACGAACTAAGAGGCCTGAAAATTATTCTCGGTGACCGACATCTGCCTGTCCCCCAACTCCCTCCCCTCTTGGGTCCCATAAGCAAAAACCCTGATGCTGGTATTTTTAATAAAAGATTTCCATTTTCACCATTTTGAATCTGCGCCCAATGGCCATCGGGCAGCTGAGAAACTCGGATGTTTGACCTAAATGGACCCGCTGGGGAGGCATTGGTATATAGATGATGTAATTGACATAAAGCTGAGAGCTCAAGGCAGGGATTAGCAAATGCAAGGCTACAAAAAGCTTAACGTCTTTTCTCAATTCCGGCTCTTTTGAAAGAAAAAGGATGCGCCCCTCCACCATCTATTTCTTAGCTCCCCCCTCCCCCCAAACAAAAATACACAACAGAAGAACCAAATTCTACATTCACTGCAAGGATGGACTCTTTTTATCTTCACACTGTGATTAAAAACAAGGATCACACATAAGCCAGAGTCAGAAATCCAGTGCTGTGAGCACCACGGCACCCATACAAGCAGTGGCATCCCGGGGTCTCTGGAATTAAATATAATACTATTTTAAGGAATGCTAGCATCTCCCAAGGTTTGGCAATCTCATGAGGTTTTGGCATTTGGAAAAGGAGATCATTTTGCCTCTGCTTGTGAGATGCCATTGCACTGCCAGGCTCCAGAGTACAGGATATGAACTTACAACAAGGTGTAATGCAGGATATTGACTCACAACAAGGTGTAAGGTGTTCACTGACCATTTGAAGTTACAATGGCTTTGGGGGGAAAGTGACTGACGACCGTTTTTCACACTTACGACCCTTTGCAGAATCCTCGTGGTCACGTGATCAAAATTCAGGCACTTAGCGACTGGCTTGTATTTATGACAGTTGCAGTGTCCTGGGGTCACGTGATCCCCTTTGGCGACCTTCAGACGAGCAAAGTCCATGGGGGAAGCCAGATTCACTTAACGACTGTGTTACTAGCTTAACAACTGTAGGGGTTCGTTTAACAACTGTGGCAAGAAAGTGTTGTGGTTCGCCAGCAGCTGGTGCAGACGGCAACGGAATCGGACAGTGGGGAAGAACGGGGACCAGTCCAGACTCGGACGAGGGTCCTGCATCTGATGCAAAGATGGGGCTAGGACCATCTGGGAGTGGGTGCTGACTCTGGAGCACCCAGAGTCTGGCAGCAGCGAGGCCGAGGAACAAGGGGAGCCTGTTCCCAGGGTGCGTATGCACAGAGCTGCTAGAAGGCAAGAGCAGCTGAGACAAAAGGGGTGACTTGGGAGTAAGGCTGGGAGGTGATTGCCTCTCCCATAAGGTATAAAGGACAAGCAAAGGTAGAGAAGCCTTTGCAGGAAGCAAAATCATTCACTCTGTTTGGATTCAACCTTGAAGCTCTGTGTGGACTTTGTACTTCGGTTGGTTTTTTATAATTCATTTGGCACTTTAGTTGTTGGCAGCAATTCAAAGGAGAGAAAGGTGGGTGCTTATCTCGAGGGACTTTTGGGGACTCATTACCGGCTGGGAATGAACATAATTCCCAGCATTGAAATAAAACAAGAGTTGTTTTAACTAAGCATGCGCTTAATTACAGTCTTGGAAACCATGGTCAGAACAGAAAGATCATAAAATGGGACAAAACTCAAATGTCTCGTTTAACAACAAATTCTGAGCTCAGTTGTGATTATTGGGTGGAGGACTACCCGTACTAAATCTTAACTGAATTGTTTTGGTCTCTTCAGTATGTTGCATGACTTCAGGCCTTTCTGCTTGTAAAAACCACAGTTAAAACAACTCAAAATGTAGCACAACACATAAGCCCAGCTATTCAATCCTACCTTAGACTCATCTGTACCCAAAGAAACCGACCGGTTAGGAGCCATACACCAAAGGATGATACCTTAACTTTAATTTAAACTTAAAACATAGTTCATACGATGGTTTCTCACATTTTAAATATTTTTTTTTTTAGGCTAAATGGGAAGTACTCATTGGTACCAACAATGTAACCATGGGGGTGTGTGTTGGATTTTCATACAGACTGGGATTGTTGTTATCCAATTGATCTAAGGTATCAGGTGTTAAAAAGATTTGCTTTCGGCTTTATGCTTTCGGTAGCCGTCCCAAACTGGTAGCCTTTCAGCCAAAACAGGAAGCTGTTTTACACAGTTCTGCAGCCCAGGATGTAAAAACTGCTAAGCTTTTGCTGGCCCCTAGTATTTCTCTTACTGTCTCATGGAGGACAAAGCCCTCCCCCCAAATATTCTGAAGCAATTGTCCTGAATATTTTTTGAGAACAAATAAAAATGATGACATTCACATTAAGAACAATACTGTGCCTTTATAGCGTGCCTTTCTACTGTATTCAAAGTCCCTCCAATAGTTATTTTCGGTAGGGATAGACATGTGTTGTTAAAAGAACAAAAGGCAATATAGCTCAAGAGCAAACTGGGTTTTGAGCTCCTATGGGCTGCAAACATGCAAAAATGACAGGGGGCGGAAAATGCATCGAAGGGACGACCTATATCTCTTTCCCCGTCCTGGTGCACAAATACCTTCCAACCAACAGGCTCAGCAAAGCTCTTCTTGACATTGCCTAGGTGAGCATTTCCTCACAACTCTGCTCGCTCGCTCGCCAGCCTTATATGATGGGTCTTTGCCGCACCTTTTTTGGGTCTTGCAAACCAGCTCACTGGCCAATGAAAAAGGGTCCTTGTCTTAGCAGCGCTTCTCCCAAAATAACAGACCAATAAATCAGGGTTACACCTTTTCCAGCCAACAAAGTGGGAGGCTTCGCCTGAAAACAAGTTGCATGAACACCTGAGTCCTTATTGCTAGAGAAGAAACCGACCAGCTGTCCGGCAGCCTGGTGGTCCCTGGGAAGGAAAAGAGGAAGAGGAAGCCGTAATGGGCTGCTTCTCTTCCAGGGATGCTGATGAAATGGCTTTTGGACCCTGGTAGACACCGCAGAGCCTTTCCACCCATGCCCAACTGTTTTGACCTTTTGTTCGGACTCAACTAGCTGCCAACAGGAGTGTCTTTTGCCTCCCATCCATAACCCCCGAAAGTTCTTCTTGAAGCATTGTGGGACAAACTGGGAGGACCCCAGACGGGTTTGCTGTATGCCAGGAGATCATCCACTTATTGGTGCTGAGAGCCATCCATTCATCTTTAACCCCTCCCTCTCCATATTTTCTTAGGAGATGCTCATTTGAAGACCCAGCCGGCCCTTCAAAGGTGACTTTGGTCTCCTGCTCCAACCCCACCATTTCTTTCCAGCAGATCCTTTTCCTGATGGAACTTCTACCTTGGTCCAATTCCCCACTTGGCCACCAGTAGGATTTCCGGGGCCCGACAACTAAGTTTTCTCACCTTGTTGTTAAATTGCAGGTGACTGGCCACTGTAGAGATGACCCTCTGGAGATGGGCATCCATCCACACATTCCTCCCTCCATCCATCCATCCACCCACTCACTCACTTAACCAACCAACCAACCAACCACTCAACCAACCACCCAACTAACCAACCAGCACTCAACCAGCCAACCACTCAACCAACCAACCAACCACTCAACCAACCACCCAACTAACCAACCAGCACTCAACCAGCCAACCACTCAACCAACCAACCAACCACTCAACCAACCACCCAACCAGCACTCAACCAGCCAACCAACATCTGGAAGTGACTCAGATGGACACCTCCCTAGTGTATTGAACTATAAAAAGGGGGAGGGGATATAATTCATATAGCCAATCTCAAAGCAACTGTAATCCTCCTGCAGAGTTGATTTCACAAACTGGTCTACTGCGTGGGGTGGGCTCCCCTCTCCCCCGCTTTTTTCAGCCCATCAAAGCCAAGCTACAGTTTTTAGTTTAAGGAGGCAGACCAACAGGAAGGGCATTTTGGGCTGCCGCTCAATCTCCGAGACGCTTCTTTTACGTTTTCCCGAAAAGACCCTGATGTAGCTGTCTACCCAACAGCCCCGGCATGTTCAGTTGGCTCCAGTCCATAAGAACGTTGGGCTTGCCTGGCAGCCGAGAGGCACCCATCTCCTCCAAGTCACTTTGGCTCTCTGGAAATTTTGCAGGGGTGCAAATCACTACAGCAGCATTGTTTGGGGGGGGGGGGTCTGTTAGTGCAAGAAAAATGGTCCTAAGGAGAACTCGGAATACTGGGGCGTGAAAGGGCAGAGAGGGGACCGCTGAAAACTCCTACTCATCCTTAGTCAAACATTATTTACTAGTCATCTTCGTTGACTGGTTGTGTTTTCCTTGCAGGAGTGATAACTATCCAGCCACCCGCCTTCCACGGGAAAAGAGGCCACAAGTGCTGGCAACGGGCACCCCCGGGAAGAACCCTCTCCGGAGGAGAATCCAGCCATGTCTATCTGGCATTTCAAATAGCCCCCTGGAGAGCGTGTCCCGAGGGCCATGAAGGTCACAGGTAAGAGCAGCCGAGTCCTTCTAAGTGCTGCTGTTCCAAAGTGCAAGGAAGAACCTTGGATAAGTCCTCTAGTGCAATCTCCAATGTTGCTGGCACTGTTGAGAGTAAGTTCCATAACTTTGTCATCGCTGAGGAGGACAAGCACTGAAATTGTGGCTGGAACTGCCACTCTTGGACCAGTCTAGCTAGGACCTAAGATGTTCTAGCAGAGTCAATGCAACGTGTAAAGCCTCCAACGGGGTGCTTGGAGGTGAGGAAGCACCTGAAGTATCCCTCACTGCTTTGGTCCAACAAGAATGGAAAGAGAACCAGCGTCCCACTTGTCCCCATCTTCATAGCAGCCACATTACCTTCTTGGACCTGAGTTTAAGGTGACGTTTGATCTTCTCCCATCTTCCTTGTGCTGCAATCATCTGTCGAAAGAAAGAAGTCCAAGCTGCTGACATAGAGAACAAGGAGAACTTCTTCACTGTCAAGTCAACTACTATGTGCAACCTTTGGGACAGAATCCACGTGTGAAGGCATCGCGACGGAGGGGGTATTGCACCTCAGTAACTGTCTGGTTTGGCACAGCAACCAAACAAGACAAGACGCAGACTTCAACGCAGACTTGGAACTGCAGGTAGGCCTCAAAATATTGGGCAAACTTTTTGCTTTCAGCAGTGAGGAAAGGCAGACCAAGCGGCGTGGAGACTGTTTTACACAAGTGGAAAAACATGCTCCTTTCTGGGAAATAGAACAAAAAAGCTGGAAGCAGAGGTGGGTATTCAGCAGGTTCTGACCAGTTCTGGAGAACCGGTAGGGGAAATTTTGAGTAGTTCGGAGAACCTGCAAACCTGCAAACCCCACCTCTGACTGGCCCCACCAACCCCATCTATTCTCTGCCTCCCATTGAGTCCCAGCTGATCAGCCTTTGGTTTCCCTGCACAGGAGAACAGAGCTGGAAAGCAGGCTTGTGGGATGGGGAGGGAAGGGGGATTTTGCAGCATCCTTCTCCTGCCATTCCCACCAAGCCACGCCCACCAAGCCTCCCCAGAGAACCGGTAGTAAAAAAAAGTTGAGTCCCACCACTGGCTGGAAGGGTCCTTGAAGGTCTTCTAGTCCAGCCCCCTGCTCAAGCAGGAAACTCTATACTATTTCAGATAAGTGGCTGTCCAATCTCTTCTTAAAAACCTCTAGTTCTGGAGCATTTACAACTTCTGGAGGCAAGTTGTTCCACTGATTTAATTGCTCTTAACTGTCACGAACTTTCTCCTTAGTTCTAGGTTGCTTCTCTCCTTGATTAGTTTCCATCCGTTACTTCTTTAGTTTAATATCTTTTTTTTAAAGTTTGAAACTTTTAGTTTTATTTTTTTTGGAAAAAAAAATCTGGTTTATTTTCACTATTTTCCCCAAACCGGCAGTCTATCACATGAATGCTACACTTTTAGCCTCACAAAGAATTAAAAGCGCAAATGCATTTTGCTGTGTAGCATATTTCCTCTTTGGTCATCCCCCTTTTGGAGATGACATTGGACGTAAATCTTTGTTTTTTTCCCTTTTTTTACCGAAACCTCTGAACGTCTCTCACCTTTGAGATACTCGGGAAAGGTAATCCTGGTTCAAGGAGGAGAGTTGCTGCTCCAGCCGGAAGATTCGGAAGGCCAGGTACGATGAGGACAACACCAAAAGGCAGATTCTGTGGATCAAGAGAGCCACCCCCCCCCCCATTAGATCTGAACCAAGAGGGAATCAGAAAGCCCCAGGAAAAACGGGAAAACTCATCCCTTGGGACTTACAACACTATGAAGATTTTCAGCAGCTGATAATCAGCTGGTCTCAGTTCTGCTTTGTAGCTTTCGTCCACTACTAACTCCTCCTCCTCTTCCTCTTCTTCCTCATCCTCTTCCTCCTCGGAGTTTACTGTGCTTTCTGGAACAGAAATTCAGATCAACCCGAACCCCAATGGGGAGGTTGGGAGACCCCAGAAACCGACGATGGCTTTGTGGGAAAAGAGTTCAGTCCCAATTCTGAAGTTGCAATTTCACCTGCAACCAAACCAAAGCTGCAAGCTACGGCTGCAAGTCAACGTCAGACCTCCAGCCCTTGCTTATCAACGGAGACCGAGTGGAGCAAGTGGCCAGTTTTAAGTTTCTGGGTGTTACCCTAAAAGAGGACCTGACCTGGGGTGCTCACATTGCAGCCCTGGTCAAAAGGGCCCAGCAGAGATTATACTACCTGAAACTTCTCAGGAAACAAGAACTGAATGAAAAACTGCTGGTGACCTTTTACCGCTGCACCATAGAGAGTATCTTAACTTACTGCACCTCTGTATGGTTTGCCAATTGCACAGTGGCAGATAGGAAAGCACTCCAGAGGGTTAACATCATTGCCCAGAAGATCATGGGTTGCTTTCTCCCCTCTTTGGAAGAGCTTTATGGCTCCCGCTGCCTTGAGAAAGTTCAAAACATCCTCAAAGATCCATCTCATCCTGGGCACACACACACCCCTTTTTTTTTTTTTGAACTATTACCATCTGGCAGGCAGTACAGGATAATAAAAACAAGGACAAATAGGCTGAAAAACAGCTTCTATCCCAGGGCAGGAGCTCTGTTGAATTCTGCTGCATAGTGCAGTGTTGGTGCGGTGTCGGGGGTTTTCAATTCAACGTGTGGAGAGTGAAAGATGTGTGTTTGTGTTTATTTTCATGGTCACTGATGTGCACTGAAGATGGTGTTGGATTTCATTGTACGAGGTGCCATGACAAAGTGAACAAAACGAAACGGAACCCCTCCTGATGTCCTTGGAGCACCGCGCGTCCTCTGGGCCAGCCCAGGAAGAGGCTGCCCCTCCATCCCAGAGGGTCCTTTGCAATTCCACGCACCTGACACCAGGGGCTCCTCGGAGTTGCAGGAGCTCTCCTTAGCGCTGAGGTTGCTGAGGGAAGTTCGGTGGATGCATTGGAAGCCAGCATCCGGGAGGGCGAGCGAGAGGGACGCCGTGGACCTCCTTCTCCACTTCACCTCTGGGACGATGACCTCCTGCGGGAAAGCAAATCAACGGCTGACGAAAGCAAGCGACCATGGCCTGAATTTGTACTGATGTTTTGTTTTTTTTTGTTTTTTTTTAGTGAAACGTTGAAGTTAGTGACCCAGAAGGAGATTGGCGAAGTTATTTCTGACTCTCGTCTCAAAAGGTGCTTTTCAAAAGGCAACTGGACTTTCTCGTTGTTTTTTTTCTTTGAAAATGTTTCACTTCACACTCACCCGAGAAGCTTCTTCAGTTCGAGAATTGAAGAAGCTTCTTCGCAATAAGACTTAAGACTTATATTCCACGGTGCTTTGCAGCCCTCTCTAAGCGGTTTACAGAGTCAGCATATTGTCCCCAACAGTCTGGGTCTCATTTTATTGACCTCAGGAGGGAAGGCTGAGTCCATCTAGAGCTGGTCAGGACTGAACTGAGGGCAGTGGGCAGAGTTTGCCTGCAATACTGTATTCTAACAGGGAGGGAGGGAGGGAGGGAGGGAGGGAGGAAGGAAGGAAGGAAGGAAGGAAGGGGGCTACAAAGCACCGTGAAGTCTATGTGCTATTGGTATTTCTTTCCTTCCTTCCTTCCTTCCTTCCTTCCTTCCTTCCTTCCTTCCTTCCTTCCTTC